CCAACTCCACAAGCTGTTCCATTAAAGATCTCTCCTTCAGATCTACTTCAATGGCTCTTAACTTTAGCTTCTCCTCAATTTCTTCCCACTGAAGTGAGAACTTAAAAACCGATGAAGCTTTCTCATGAATTTCATCTAAAATTTCACTAATCCTCAGCTTATCCTCATCTAATCCCACTAAATCACCTTCCTTCACCATAGCTTCAGAGCTTAAAACCGTAAGTATAAAAAAAAATCAAAATGAAAAACAGATTCATGGGAAGAACAAACAAAACAGAGCATAAACGAGATCTTCCAGAGAACAAAAACGAAAAACCCAGAAGTAAAAACCAAACCTTTTTTCAGACTGATCTTCAGTTCTCGCCGGCGTCGGATTCTTCTCCGGCGTATCTCCTCGGAAAGGTACTACTGAATATTCCCGTTCCATTGATAATTTACCTTCTTCAATAGCTGTAAGATCGGAAATTTTGAGGTTCTTCAAGAGTAGAGAAGAAGAAAGATTCAGAAATTTTGCATTTTTATTTTTATTTTTCCGTTTGACTGAGAAATTTTTGAAAATTAAAAGAGATGATTTTACTGAAAATGGAGGGAGGAGTCGCAGGAAAAGTTATACACATTTCGGGAAACATATATGTGTACGTGTTCTATTATAGACCGTTAAATTAAACTATTTGTAGTCATTGGATTGATTATCTTACGTCATCTTTTCTTTGACCGAAGAATACTGATTTTGTAGCCGTTATTAGCTTTCGTGGATCACTTAAAAGGGCTTCATCCATAAGCCCATTTTACTTTTAGTGAATTAATATTAGGCCCAAATCAATATATTCATTTGAAAACTATTTAAAAAGTTGGAAACAATCCTATAAAGTGAAAACTATGTTAAAAACTTAAAATATTAGTTCCAATTTCAGTATTTATGTTTTGGTATTGAGGATTAAAATAATATATACTATGAAAGTTGTTTGATATATTGTAATTCTCGTAGGATTTGTGTCTGTCTATAAAGATTAGTTAAATGATCACACTTGTCTTGTAAGATTGGAACTAATTATAAGAGATCTTGTGGATTAGTAAAAATAAATAAAGAAATGTGTAAAAGAGAATCGAATAAACATTTCTTCTGTATGTAGACATCCGAGAGAATAATTAGACACCCATGATCGATGATCTATAGAGATAGTCGTGGTCGTAATTAATAAGAGTTTACATCTATGATCCATCTACTTGTAATGTACTTGATCAATAAAAACAAAAGTTAATTATTAAATAAGTTATAGTGATAAATGAATAAAACAAAATTGAGGGGGAGGGGGGGGGGGAAGAACGACGGGAAAGAGATAAAAAGGTTAGAGGAAGTGACAAAGAATAATAAAGAAGAAAGTGACAGGTGAGGTGATGAAATTGAAACCCTAATAATAGGACAAACATTACAATTTTTAAATAAATATTAAAAATTCAATTGAGAGAAAAAAAAAATCATTTATTATATAAAAGAAAAAGTAGAAACAAGCTGTTCTCCATAGGATGTTGACCGCCAAACTCTAATGCTTCCAAATCTCATTCATATTTTTGCTATAAACCTTTAGTGTTTTTACAAGCCACACGCCTATTTCTATCACTTTTGTTACCTAATATCTAGTTCGGAACATTCATGATAATAGATTTGCTATCAAAATTTGTAATCGATACGATTTTTTATGGATTTTATAAATATAATTAACATTCGCATGTTAAGAGCGATGGTATCACCACCACAAACAAGATTGACACTCGTATGATTTGATAGATAAAGAGAAGAGAGAAGAAGCCAAAGTAACTCCATGTTGAAATAGCAAGTTTTGCCATTTTAGCACCCGAATCTTAACCCCTTTCAATTTCATTCATCCATACTTGTTGTAATTATACGACATTTTTTTTTTTGGTATAATTCAGAGTATAATCTAAATTTTTTACTATCCGACTAATCATTTAGAGTGTAACCATCAAATAGTCTAATTATTAAATATTTTAATGGGTTTAATACATAAACATAGCCAATCTATAATATATATGAATATGGTAAATCTTGTCCGATTAGAAACCATTAGATTATTACTATTTAGTTGGCGTACATGATTATTACCGAAATGATTATGCATAGTTAATGTAGATTAGCTTGTTATAGTTCTTTTAATAACACAAAGAAATTGGTTCATTTGTTCTCCAAATTCAAACTTTTTTTGATAAAGAGAATTATTCTTT